GCAGTGGTTCTGGTTCTCCTCACTGGTTCCAGTCAGAGGTGTTCAGTAGCGGGCTGTGATCCTCCTCTGATTCCCCCCCTCTCCCAGTGAACACATGAGGAGCTGATTGGTTGACAGTACCTGCATCATACCGAAGGTGGCGCTGTTTCAGTCGTATAGGGACATCTTTGCAGAGCTTCAGCTGCATGTTCTGCAGGCTACAGCCTATAAGCTGCAGGCTTTGATTCTGATGCTCAGCCTGAACAGAAAGTTCCATGAACTCAATTATTATGTGAACAAACGTTTAGAAGGAATCATTTTAATCCACGATTCTAGTGATTCAGTTCACCTAAAAGAACTGTTCCCATCCATAGCAGTGTTCCATCCCAGTGAGGGTAGAACATGCCGACTGCATGCAGATCTGCAGCAGGGAGGTCGTCTTCAGGACGGATCCCAGGAGGACGCTGCTGCTGCTCTAAGTTACTGCAAACTTTTTTTTCTTTTCTTCTGTTGTTTTTTAAGATGAACTAAAAAAGCAGCCATGAGGTTTTAGTTTGACCAAAATGACTCCAAAGATGTTTTCTGCTTTTAATACTTCCTCCCGGTGACAGTGGGAAGGACGTGTTGTTTCATCTCTGTCCTCCACTCTGAACACATCTGTCTTCCATTCAGGGACAGATTTTAAAAAAAGCAGCAGATTATTTCTTTAGTGGAAAAGAGGGAGGATCAGTGGGAGCTTTCTTCATCTCAACAGGAAGTAGGAGTGAGGAGAGCTCTTTCAGCAGCTGTTTCAGGGTTTACGTCATGGAGGCCGAGCCGGCGTCCCGGCTCAGCGTTCGCACGCTATGCACCGGCACACAGAGGGCGGGGCTGCGGGGACCCCCTGCAGGAAGCGTGACCGAGCTCAGGCTGCGTTCAGCAGAGGGGAATCGTCACCTCGTCTGAGTGATAGCGAGCTGCTGGGTGGGCTTTTAGTCACGCATGCTGCTGCATGACTCCACGTCTGAGAGGAGCTGATGGTTCAGAGGGGCTCTGCTGCATCCTCTGCTCCAGCTGCTTTAAGGGACCAGAGAAGTTCAGCTAGAAAGGCTCCTGATCTCCCAATCAGGACTTTAAAGGAACTGCCTGGTCTGATTGTTGGGCTGTTTGTTGTTTAACTTTGCAGAGGAATATTCACAGAAGACGGTTGTTTTTAATCCAGCTGGCAGGTTACTGTCCCAATGAATCTGTAAATCTTGTATTGTTGCTCTCTGGAAACGATGCTTTCATCACAGAGGTATCACTTCAAAATAAAAGGTTGATTTAACAAAACCTAAAGGTTCTTTTTCTGATCTTACATTTAACTTTACAGTGAAATCTACCATTAGTCAATCTGTGGGTGATGCTCATTTACTCCTGCTATAAGAAAGCTCCACGCTTCTTATTATGAGAACGTTTCCTTCCTGGAGCCTAAATGATGCTTCCTTAAACTCACAGATTTCACCCTGAACTTTAAAACCTTTTTCTATGTCAGGCTTTTAGCTAGGAATATCCACATCTGGAGGTAAAATGCAGCTAACTTTGTGTCTTTGTTCCTACCCTACTGTTGTCCTGATTATGGGAACTATGTGTCCTTGACTAGAGGTTGACATTTCATCAGGAGGACATGAGATCATTTCTAGCTACAATATTTTTTATGG